GTATCTCACTAAGCTTTCGGGCTTACAGTTGTGGTTTAATGTTTTTCAAGTTCTTCAGGAGACTGTGGCAAGGTGAAGGTGTGATCGTACCGCTCCTCATGATTTTGTAGTAATGTGATTATGGGAATACACTAAATGATTTGCATTGAAAACCTTTTTGTAATAATTTAATGAAATCGGGTTGTTTTTGAAAAATTTAAATTTGTTGGATTTTTCGGTTGTTACATCTCATCCACAAACTTGGTTGCTCTCCAGCTACGTTTTCTTTGAGTTGTAGTCGGAGAGTCATCAGAGTGATCTGAATACATAACTTCTTGTTGTAGTGAAGCTGATTGTCGAAGAGATTGTTCAGATATAGATTTATGTGGAGATTGATGTGAAGACCTTTGAGGAGATTTATGTGGTGATGATCGAGGAGTTGGTACTCGGTAAAGCTCTGCGGTAGGGGGTTAGTCTCGAGGAGGGGTTTGATGAACAGATGGAGATTTGGAAGTTTTTGGTTCTTTATTTTCTTGACCTTGAATTAGATTGCTTTTACTTCCCCCTTTTGAGGAAGCATGCTCCATTTACTCCTTAAACCATTGCATCAGACCATCTATCCTTTGAAATGTCTCATTAACTGATTTTTCATCTCATTGTAGTCTTGCTGCTTGTTGGGGATCTTGGGGTTGAACATAAGTTGATAAATCTCCTTAGTAAGACGTAGAATTTCATCAACACTCTGGTTTGCGGTGAGTGATCTTCTCAAACCATGGATTGTTGGGGATCTCGGTCCTCAATTCTTTGATCTCATTGATGAGATTTTCAGCCTTTGTGATGAATTCTTTATGATCTGCGATCCTTTGGTTGTCAAGACCCTGATACCCATTTCAGTTCATAAAAGAATACGCTATGCAGTCATCTTTTCCCTTGTTTCTAATCTTTCAAGACGTTCAATGAGCGTCTCCGGGTGTTGGAATGTTTGGATCCTGCAGTGCTCTAGTGGTAATTGCGTCCAGGATTTGATCAACTTTAGCTTGAAGAGAGAGGAATTCTTTCCTTGAAACGGCTATCTTCTTTTTCTTTTTGGCTTTAGGTTTCGAAGTGTAATGTTGTGATCCACTTGATTCTTCGTCATCTATCACCATAATAAAATCATCAGAAAGAGGAAGTTGTTGAACATCATCTACGTTGTCATCATCGAGACCAAACATCGGAGCTGAACTAATCTCGATTGTGGCGTCATCATCATTTGAATCATAGTCTTCACCATGTTGAGAAGGATTCAAGGGGCCAACCATATTTTCCATATTTTGAGCTTATTGAAATGAAAGCTCCATTCCAGACATCCATTGTTGAATCACGAAGATGTCATGAACTATTTGGGCATTGTTGATTATTGTAGCCCAATACGTTGCTACCTGAAGGAGAGATGCTTCTTTTTGTTGTTGCTACTAAACCTGTTGTGCCTTTCTTGCTTTTTCTACCCATTTGAACACTTCAAATTATCTTAATCCATACTCTATTTTTGGAAAATATCGAGTCCAAGAGTCATCCGAAGAATATCAGTCAATTCCTTGGCACGCCAAGGTGTCCCTTTGGTTCATGGATTCCTGCACGTTTGTGCTCACCATGCCTAACTGCTTGACTGTAATGTAGGCGGTACATGATTTCCAAAGCTTCCTTGGTCTCCTTTACCTAAAGTCAAGTGTGGTGTTTGATTTTTTCTGGCAAGGGCTACGTAAGAGGTGCCCTACTGTATAACATGTGTATCAAGTGTTTGTGTGACACGAACAAAAATGGAGTGCAACTCCCCTTGTTCAAAAAGTGCAATCGTGAGGCCCTGGAGACCTTAGGGAGAGAAGTAACAACTGGATCCACTTGGGATCCAGTTGGGGGTCTTTCTCCAACATGAGATGAAATAGATACACTTGTTGTATCTGATTGGTGAGTTGGGGCTCTAACACGTGAGTCTACGGTGACTCGAATGGCTGCGGGAGTCTTTTGAGAGACTCTGGCATGTGCCTTGGTACGCATTTGGACAAGACTTGGGATAATATTTAGTTTCTTTCTTCGAAAAATGTCTTGAGATTCTGAATGCTCTTCTTAATGTTCATCAGGGACATAAACTGGAATGTCATGAGTTGGAGAAGAAGGTGGGACTGTGGGAGTAGGCTTTGTGGTTTTCGCCTTTCTTTTCCTTGAGGAAAAAGATCCCTTTGTTAGAATGTTCATAGGTGTTTTCATTGAGATAACAAGAGATTTAACTCTTTTGGACTTCGGAGGTTAGTTAGGTGTTGTGGTAGATTGAATGACTTTTGAAGGTTTTGATTGTTGATCCTGGATTGTGGTGAGCTGACTGGGCCTTGGCAGGGAAGAGTGATATGGGGCAATATCACTCGTAGCCATTATATGTGCAGCTACCTCTATGGTGGCGAGTCCAATAGACTCCAAGATATATATGGGTAATCTATGGATGAGACCAAAAACAATTTGATCTTTTGAAGGGTTGTACCTTTTAAGATCGCAAGCAGAGAATAATTCGGTGTCGTTGCCCATGCTAAGCTTAGCACACTTGTGGAGACCAACCAAGCATAGTTACTAGAACCTTGCAAATGTCAATTTAGTCAAGCCTTCTTTTGGTGTTTCCTTGAAGATGTACTGAAGAAAATCATCTCAGATGATTTGCCCGTAATCTATAACATTTCATTTGTAGATACTCCATACAATGTCAAGAATTTGTTTGCTCATATTATCAGTCCCTCCAGTCCTGCCTGAGAGACTTCTGATCAGAAAATGGCAAACAAATTGCCAAACTGCCAGTAACTTGCTTTTCTTGAATTTGATGAGACCTTTCAATTTTGGCTGATACCCCATCTGATAAACGGTAGAAAACACATCGATTGTGCTTGGGGAGTAGAATTTTGTTGAGGAAGAACCTTGAGATTGATTGCAGACAAGAACTTCGCTATGGTTAGAACCACCAAAGAGTCATCAACCAGATTGAGATGAACTTCATGAAGATTGTGGCTAGGTCGAAACTTCGAGAAGGCAAATTTGTAGAGAACGACCAATATAGTTGCTTCAGTGAAAGAATTGAATGCTCTAAACAGAGGATGTGATAGAAGAAACTTGATCATCGGCTTCATTGTTGGGTATTAGATGTTGCGTCATTGGGCTTTTTGTATAGTCTGTTATGTAAACGGTTTGGGCATGTACATCCCGTGTTTAATTCTAGGGTTACAGTATTTAAGGTGCATGTATGCATCATATTTAAATCATTGTTGTGTTCTTGTTTGTACACAGGGGGAGCAATTTACCCAACAAGAAACGAACATTCCATCATAGGGGGAGGATTACACTTTGTCTTTATCTTCTGAACTACCCTCTGATAAAGATGACTCACCTCCCACAATGACTCACGAACCTTCATTCACAAAAGATACTCCAATTCATGAATAAGAGGACCTCTCGTCATTTGAGGGGAGAATAAAGATGTGAATGAAGATTCAGACGTTCAATCAGAATTTGAAGAAGTTAATGTTGAATTGGATCCCTCTTATGATCCAAACTATCCTCCATTTACCAAATGGACCAGAGATCACCCAAGAACTCAAGTAATTGGCGAATCACGTGTAGGGGTCTTTATGAGATCTCAACTAAAAGCGAAACAAACAACACTATTCACCAAAGTGGAATTTTGTATGTTTAATTTGTTTATTTCCAAGATTGAACCAAAAATCGACAATAGAGCTCTTGATCGTTTTGATTGGGTGCAAGCGATGCAGGACAAGATCAACGAGTTTGAAAGAAACAAGGTTTAGAGGTTAATTCCTACTCCACCAGATGCATCAGTTGTTGGTTTGAAATGGGTATTTCGCAACAAGTTGGATAAAGAAGGGAACGTTATTAGAAACATGGCGAGACTCGTGGTTAAGGGGTATTTCCAGGAAGAAGGTATTGACTACGAATAAACCTTCAAGCTCGTTGTAAGGTTGGAATAAGTTCGCATTTTCTTGGCATACGCAGCACACGAGAACTTTGAGGTGTTTCCGGTGGATGTTAAATGCACATTCTTGAACAGAGAATTAGAAGAAACTGTATACGTAGAACAACTACCTGGGTTTGTAAACGAGAAGTATCCTAATCATCACTACTAGCCATAAAACAACATCAGAACTTGGTAATCGATCTCGATCCGTGCAAGTATGACACTTTTATGCTTCCAATCGTCGAGTGTCTCAAATACTCTCCTTTGTTTATTGCGCTCACCAAGATGGAGATTGTTCCAATGTTGCTCCTCTCTAAAGCTTACTCTTCAATAAACTATATCAAGGAAGAGAAAATGATCACGTTTGAGATCCACAACCGTACCACTTCCATCACCAAAACTCATTTTTGTTCTCTTCTAAGGCTTCCCCAATCAGAAGATATGATCGACCCAGAAACAGTTTCCAGTGCTGCTCTTCTCGAGATGTTCTATAAGATGGGTTACAAAGAAACCCTAATCGTCGTATCGAGGTTCAGGAAAACCAATTTTCCTCCCCAATGGAATGAAATATTCACTTTGATTTTCAAGGGTTTTTCTGAAAGGGTCACCGGATTTGACTGTGCAAGCAAGTTATTCATGGGGATTCTTTATGGCCTCTACACAGGTTCCAATTTCGACTATGGATCTGTTCTTTAGGCTCAAGTTGTTCAGAGCACCCTCAATCCCACATGTCACAGTGAAATCTCCTGTGCACTTTTTTGGAATATCATTGTCCAAAGGTCCATTAAACAACTTAAAATCCCATCGATGCAAGACACTTTGATGGCATTCATTTCCAATTTTCACACCACTTGGATTATCATTTATGATTCTTTAAAGTTCAATTTCACTGGCCCAATCCCACAAGCAATGTTTCATGATGTGCCATCTTCTAGAAAAATCTTAGAGGGATATAGGAAATTGACTCCATCCGGGTTTTGTCCATTAACCCCAAAAATACAAGCAATAATCACTGAGGCAGACCAATTTCATGGAGAATTTTCGAACCACCTACAACAACAATACCACCTCTGCGAATGAAGCCCTTCAGAACTTGGGGGCAATGTTCAAGAATGAGAAGCTCAATCTGGAAAAAGTTTGCACTGGGCTGCAGCAAGACCATGCATCGTTCCAAACATCCCTTACTTCGCAGATTACAAAGCTTCATGATAATTTGGCGATGGAAAGTAAGGTTATGGATGCCCTTGCGAGGAAGACATAAAAGGTCAAGGTGTTAGATACTAAACTTCAAAAGTCTGAGAAAGGGGTACATGATTTGTAATCAGAGAAGGCGCAGTGCAAACTTGCATTACTGATGTTACCAGTTTTCTCTCTGATATCATTGAGACCAGGGACTCAATGATCTCCATTACGGTTCGAAAACACCTTGCTGAGAAGTTAAGCCATGTCTTCGCAATGTTATATCGGTTGCAGGGTGTTTCTCCTCAGTCTTCTAAACAAAAACAAGGGGAGAAGGTGCAGGTGCATCAAAGGTTCAATCTCCGAAAGTTCTTGCCAAGCTCATTATCAAGAACGAACCTAAGGGTAAGGAAAAGCTGACTGGTGAAGAGCCGATTATTGATGATGATGAAGATAAAGAGCCTGATGAAGCTGAACTTAAAAGGCAGAAGGATTGCGACGCTGAACTTAATGAAACTCAGGGAATCGTCAAAGAGGCTAAAGAGAAAGAAAGAGCAGAAATGGAAGCTCAGGCCATTCTCAAGAGCAGAACGCTATTATTTTCTAAGTGAACCTTGAAGAAAATTCACCATGATGCTGTGGAGCTGCCCAGTCAATATTGGTTAGATCCTATTGCGTCTTTTGATCATCAAAATACTTAGGATTCGTAACTTGATCTTCTAATCACTCCAAAAGCATTCAGGTTTCGTGCTTTTGTGAAGGTTGCGAATGCACCTTTCACAGACAACAATGCTGATCAGATGTTGTTCTCTTTTTACTTAAAGCACATGAAGCCCCAGTATGAAAGCTAGAGTGTGCACAAAATTGTTTTTGTGAAGGTCACTGGGCTAATCGAGACTGAAAGCTTCCCGAATGCGAAGTTTAAGGTTGCAAGAGGATCAACATGTCAGGCCTACGAATCCACTCTTGCAGACTTGCCTTGCTTTGAATCCTAATGACTGGATCATTCTTTACAACATATTGCTACAAGAAAAAGATAAGTACAAGCCTGTGATGTCCTATCTTCAACTTATGATCAAATTGTATATTCAAGAAGTTGGTTCGATGGATGTGGATATTGCCACAGTTCTGAAGAAGAAGCCAACAGCTGCTCCTAAGGAAGCTCCGAAAGACTTGTAACATCCCAAAAATCCATACCAAATTTTTTTCTTTAAATCATTATCAAATCCATATTCATAAAAACATATCATAAGTCATAACATAAATTTAGAGTATTAATTCTAAAACATATTCCATTATCGGAGTAAAGCATCCTAGGCTGACTAATCAATGGTGTGTGCCATGCGATCATCCCGAGTTCTTCCCTCCACTACCGGAAGTACCTGAAACCAAAACTGAAAACTGTAAGCATGAAGTTTAGTGAGTTCCCCAACCTACCACATACCCTGCATAGACACATACAACATATACTAGGCCACGCCCGCTATTCCGGGCCTTGCCTACTACTTCGGGCCCCGCCGGCTACAACGACCCCGCCACTCCAGGCCTAGCCTGGCTTCTAGTCCTGCTCAGATATAGATCTGGTTCTTTTAGGCCCACGCCCGCTAACCACATATAGTAAAAAATAGCATATAACACGTAAATGAACATACCCTACTGAATTCTTATCCTTAGGCCTCGCCTGTCTTGGGCCTCGCCCCTGTCTTGTCACTAGTGAGTCATGGAACCCCGTCCAAGCTCCTACGGTAAGTGAGATACAGACTCACGCCCACACTCACTCCATGCCTATCTCATGCCTCGCTCATGATCTGCTACTAATAAGACATGGAACGCTGTCCATACTCGGCTATTGGTGAGATACGGGACCTCGCCCACTCTCACCTACCTACCAGGCACATACATGCATCACACAGACAACAAGTATACTCTATCATGCAAACCATTCCTTGGGCACTCGCCCGACATCGGACCTTGGTCCAAAATATCATACTAGAAAACAGTGCCTAGGGCTAACCCCCGGGTCTTCCTACTCATAACTACATGGGCCGACATTGTGGCCGTTGACCCATTCACACAAAGGGAAACTCACCTGCACTGCTAAACTTTTGCTGATAACCCTCTGACTGCTGACCGATAATTCTCTGAACCGCTGCTCCACTAGCTCCCCGAGCTATCAATATCAATATCATACAACATTTAGTCCCTAACTGAACTCTTAGAAGCCGTCCAAGTCCACTCTTGCCAAAGCCAAAGTCCTGGTCCAAGTCAACCTTCTTGATTGACTCTACTCGCCGAGTCACCCCAAGACTCGTCGAGTTCAACGATCTCTGAGTCCCATCTTGCCCAACTCACTAAGTCACCACTCAACTCACCGATCTAAGTCTTAACCCGAAAAGGTTTGAGGTTCTGCGACCAGACTCACCGAGTCCAAGGCAATCTTCGACAGACTCACCGAGTTGTTCTTCCAACTTTCCGAGTCCATGCTCATGTTCATAAAACTTGCCGAGTACACCCATGTGACTCGCCAAGTCTCTTCAGATCTCAAACCATATAGTGGCTTTTCGATCCATGCAGGGGCTCCAAACCATAGATCCACTCTTCTACAGTCTATCCCCCCTCGTAAAGTTGCAAACTTTACGTGAAACCAAGAAGCTAAAGGCCCAAAACACTCTAGGGCTAGGGTTCTAGACAAGCATGCTTCACCAACACCCCCAAGACTGATACTTTATGGTTCTCTAGGCCGAAACACATCTAGATCTGAAGTAGCAACTTCATATCTGGACTTCTAACTCGAAATGTTTAACATCCGCACTCCCAGGTATCTTAATTTATGCTTTAATATTGAGTTTTTGGAGTGAGACTCGGCGAGTAGGTGCCCAAACTCGCCGAGTAGGAGCGCAGATGGTCAGACTGATTTAATGGCGGACTCGGCGAGTCCATTTGTGGACTCGACGAGTCCATGCTGTTTAATGAAACCCTAATCTTCGGGGTTTGAGACCTATTTAAAGGGGCTTATAGCCACCATTTGCGGCTACCAGACCCTTGAGAGAAACCCTTATAGTGCTTGAGCGTTTGTAAGAGAGAAGAAGCCATTATTGGACCTTTGTGGGGTTGTTTTGCAAGAATAAGTTGATTCCAGCTTGGAGGAGGCCAAGGAGGTTGCATATTTGTGGATTTCAAGCAGAGGGCATCATCTTTGAGGTCGCATATCGACCCTCTTTCTATTTTGTTAAAGCATCCATGGATCTAGGGTTTCCTATGCCCTTTATTTGGTTGATTTGTTGAGAACAAGGTCCCTTATCATGTTTAGACTTCAGATCTGGACCCATAGTGGTCCAGAGGAGGTTATCCATCTTGCTTTATGTTGGGTTATGGAAGAAATGAACTTAGAGTGTTGTATTTGGGACTAAATCATCAAGTAGTGTCATTTGGACGTTGCATGAGTATCAAGTTCGAACCTTTACGTGTTTATTGAGCTTGGGAAGGTTAGATCTATGGATTAGAGGAGCAGATCTGACCTCAGAAGGTCATTTGAGTTTGAGCATGGCTTGAACTCGCCGAGTCCAAGAACAGACTCAGCGCTTTCCCCATAAAGCACACAGATGGTAACTCGCTGAGTTGGGGAAGTGACTTAGTGAGTCACTTGGGATTTTGAGGATGTATGTTCATGACCGAACCCGTCGAGTCACAATAGTGCACTCGACGAGTCTGGTCAAAGGGTTGATCGTTGACTTTTGTTGACTTTTAGGGTTTGGTCAACTTTAGAGTATTTGAGCCTTGAGAGGGGTAAAATGGTCTTTCCCCTCTTGAGAGTGCTAAGAGAGGGAATGGTCTAGCCTTAGGAAATGTGTTGATGCCGAGTGTTTATTTTCGTGTGATTAGGCAGAGGCTAGATCCTATTTCACAGAGACTGAGATTTCCGAGTTACCGAGTTACACGAGGTGAGTCTTCCCACTATACGTTACCTAGAGTGGTATTATGAGTTGACCGAAAGGTCTTATGTGCTATGTATGAGATTGTGTGCCATGTATGAGATTATGTGTTATTTGATGTATGTATGATATATACTTATATAGACCGGACCAGAGGGTCCAACGATTCAGACTGGGCCGAAGGGCCCAACGAGTTATGACCGGACCAGAGGGTCCAACGAGCTACGGGACCGAAGGGTCCCGCTGAGACACATCGACCGGAGGGTCGTACAGTAGCCTCGAGTGGCGTATGTGTTGTATGTGGTATTTTGGGGAACTCACTAAGAATTTATGCTTACAGTTGTTGTGTTATGTGTTTCAGGTACTAGCGAGGACTGTGGAAAGGCGCCGACGTGACCCGTACACACAGAGAAGGGATTTGATTTTGTGATCTTGGGGATATGTTATGATTTGATAACTATTGTTGAATACTTTTGAGAATATTTTTATATAAATTTGGTTGTTGAAAAATGAAAATTTTGTTTTGAAAATCTCATCGTTACAAAATGGCTCTTAATCATGCCATAAAAGCCCCCAAATCTCATAACAAAGGTAACACTTTATGGAGGCTTAGGGTTTTGTGTTCTAAAGCCAATCCTTGAATCACCAAAGGTTCCCTTCCTCCTTCATCCTTCAAATCACCCAAAATGGCAAGAAAGCTTGAATGTACTAAAATGGAGGCTTAGGGTTTCGTGTTCTGGATAAGAGAGACTATAGAGAACCCTAAGGGAGAGAATGAGATGTTTATATAGTGCACAAAACCCCGGACTTAGGGTTTCCCAATCCAGACCGGACTCGCCGAGTCCACTCTCCAACTCGTCGAGTCGGTCACTTTGTCACACCCCCAAACCTGAACGGCGGAAACGTTCGGGGGCGGATGACTTCATGTGGTAGCGTAACAAATGAATACATAGTAAAGAAAGCAATACAACCATCATATATATAATTGAAAGTTTACATTTGTCAAAAGTTACATGTTCAAAACCAATTACAATATGATGTCAAAAATATGAGATTAAACTGGCGCCGCAGCATCTCTTCTTCAAAAGCATACTAGTACCTGAAATTTACTGAATCCCTGGGACATACAAGTAATTTTGAAAGAGTTGATCAGCATTTAAGCTGGTGAATTTCATAAGTATTTAAATGACAATGTTTAAATGAAATGAAATGTTTTATCTTTTCTTGTGATTGTTTAGAAAATCCTATATTTTCTACTAGCATAAAAGTAGCCTTCACTCGAGACCAATGTTGTTTCCAAAATGTATGTAAAAGTAAAATAATAAATGAGCTTTGAAAACCTTGTAAATCAATGCGTTTTTAATACCCCTTGTGAGTTTTATAACCATACTATTGACTCGAAATGCCTATACACAACGTTCTTCAGGCGTTGGAATGTTATGACGTTTGTCACCCCAAACGGTGGACTGTAGCTAACAGTCAGGGCGCGGGTTGTCAAGCCCGTATAGATCTATACACAAACACCATGCTCCCCCTCCAAGGGATTCTGGTATATAATACAGGACTTGAGATGTGTACTCGAACGTACATGAAGTTAGTGTCTCACAAACCCGTGGTATAAAAACAGATCAACTTGTTAAAATGTTACGTTTGTTCTTGTATACGAAGGTAAACCTCTTGAAATATATGTTTCTAGTACATAAGAGTTAGAAATCTGTTCGTAAAACTATACCTATTATAGTTTTAAAAAGTGTGCTTTGTTTGTTTAGAAATACTTAGGAAAAGGATAATTTAAGAACGGTTTAGTTTTATACATGTATTACAACAACTTCATATTTTAAAAGATTCGAATACTATTGTAACATATGTTTCATATTTATATATACAAGTTCCTTTAAAAGTTTATAAACCGATTGTGATTTGAATATTTAACAGTATATAAAAGAGTTTCTTTATGTAACACACGATAATACTCGTGTGTTATACTTGTAATCCCCCCCTTTGAAAGCATATAAAAGTATTTAGAATAATTAAAACGGTTGATTAAGGGGTATGAAACTCACTTGAAAGTTTTGGAGATAGCGAGATGGAAAACCGGGCAGAGTTTCGTCTCGGGAAACGGATTTTCCTCGGGATTCTCGGGAGTAAAATCGACCTTCGGGACTTGAGCCAAAAAGACCAGAGCTTCGGGTTTGAACGGGCACGGAAAACGAGGCAAAGTAGAGTGAGAGAGAAGAGAAATGAGCC